GTTGACAGTTTCAGAGTCCCCCAAATCCTCACGGATTGATGACCAGTAGAGGTCATCTTGGATCACTGGGCGCGAGACATGGATCACTGAAGATGTCGATGTTTCACACCTTTTTTTTTCAAACAACATGGACTCCCCTTGTTATCCTTGTTCTAGTTAGGCTGTTTCGGCTACATGATGTTTCTTTTCCGACTTTTTGGCTGTTTCGGTATGTTGGAAAAAGAGTTTGAGATGCAGGCGGCTGCTGATGGACCATTGAGTTTGATCCCCAGCTGTGGCAGCCATGCAAAGCTCGACGGTCCCGGTGACCCCATGGCGAAGTCCATCAGGTCCCAGAACTGGATGGAAAAACATGGAAAAACATCCAAAAAAACACGTGTCAACATGTTTTTTCCATGTTTTTTCCCCTGTAAAAGGTGAAAAACATCTAAAAACCATCTGGCAACCCAAGGTGAGCGTCCCACTGGCACAGCCTGGTGGGAGGCTGGGACGGGAGGAATATAGATGTTATGGAACCATATGGAACCATGGTTTATAATCACATCCCCCGTTCATATTAAATAGAATTGTAAATAGTTATTTAATGGAATTCCAATAGTGACTTAATGGAATCTAATGGAACATAGTGGGATAGAACGGAACATCTCATCCCCCGGAAAAAAAAACATTCTATGGTCCCAAAAAGGTGAAAAGCCCCTACTACACCATGTTTCTGGGAGTGTTTAATATTAGGGGGAAGGGATTAGATGATATATATTCATATTACGTTCCACGGTATGTAGATATGTAGATGGTAGACATCATATTATGACATCATGATCCCTGTGGTCCCCACCTGCAACTCCTTCCTTCCTTCACTCGCCCACTCCTTCACTCTCTTCTTCATCTTCTTCATGCACTGTGGGCCAAGCCTGGATCCGAACACGTACCAGAGAGAATGCCAGAATGAATGCCTGAAAAGATGCTAGATAGATCTAGATAGAATGTCAGAGCGTATGCCGGAAAGAATGTCAGGTAGAATGTTATCTATGCCATATATATATATGGTCCATATGCACTTCCAGATGGTATGTCAGAAACAACGTGAGAATAGTGTGTCAGAGTGGGGATCACTCCAAGAAAGTAGTTTGTTTGTTTAATCAGTACTTAATCACATAGGATCATACCAGGTAATTATGGTGGAGCGGATGAAGCTTTTGTCTCCAGGCTTGTTCACACCATGATGCTCGTGCCACAAAGTTTTGTTTCTTTTACCATGTCCAGAGACTGGGGTATAGCGTATACCATTACATCAGTGCGAGACCAACATCAGCTGATGATTGTTAGAGGCACACAAGCTATACATGGGTGTGTCCAAAAATGGCGGATACCCCAAAATGGCAGTTTCGATGGTGATCATGCTGATAAACAGTGATTCTTGTGCCTCTACCTCTACCTCTGGGGTACATGATCTTTGGATTAAAATTATACAATATTTACATGTATAGTTATATGCTATACACAATGCTATTTTATTTTATCTTATGTTATTTTACAACCGTTTGATGCTTATATATATATAGTATTATATAGTACTATATATTAGACATCTATTTTACGAATGATATATACTTATATGAGGACACATACATAATATATATATACATGTATAGAGAGAGTGAAACCTGAACTTTGAAGCTTTGGCCCTGGCTTCATGACTGGTTGAGTCTGCTTGATCCATGGGCAGGTACCTCCGGCTCCGTCTCGTGCCGTGGCCGCTGTTGCCCGGTGCTTAGCTGGGGTAATTAATATGGGGTATATCGTAACAACAATGAAATAAAATCAAAGTAACCATGACCATTATGATGATATTAATGATAATATTAATGTAGTAAGATGTATATTTAACAACAATAGTCAGTCATATAACCAACAATATCATTGTAATGAGTATGCATACAATTCAGCATAATATGTATATATATGTAGAGATATATATATATATTATATCCAACATTAAGATTACCTCATCTATAATTATCTGTAAAAATCGTTGCAGCTGGCTGAACTCAATAAACGAGATTATCCACTTTTAAAATAGTTAGAATGGAATTAGCAATGATTGCTTACGATCAAAGGAATTCTATTGAGGATTTTGGTTTATTGTGGATCGTGTTGGGGGTACAGCTCAGCAGCAATTAGACGGGGATTTTATTGGGATATCATCATGGGAGTACACAACTGTATCAACTATTGGTGATATTCCCAACTAAGCGGCAGTTATATCCAATTATTGACGATCAGATAACCAGCGTTAGTTGATTGAATGATAAGGGGTACCTCTCATTGAACATGCATTTTGGGGTAAAGAATGGTAAATGGTATGGCGGATAGGAGGTGTCACTCGGCCAGTGCAGGACACTCATCTTCGGCTTTGAGTCAAAGCTTAAAGCCTGATGATGTCTGTAAAGTGCCAGGGAACCAAAACCTAGCTTCACTTGTCAACGGGAATCCATGGCTAAATTCTGGTGGGGCAAATGATATTCGAACACATACCATGGATCTTCCACGGTATTTTCTATGTGTTTTTCCTTCAAACGCGTGCACATGACCATTCCAAAACCATCTTCAAGTTTTTGGAAGGTTGCTTGAGAAGCTGACATTGATTAATGATTATAGCCATACAACGATAGCTATTGTGATACTATACAGTTATCACAGCTACAGTGATAGTAATATCATGTAATGTCAATATGATAATATGATTGATGGTTCAGAAACTACAATCACTATCATGAACGTGGCATCATCACTATCATTAGTATCATCACTACCACTATCATCACTATTGTCACGATCATCACTGTTGTCACTATTGAAAAGTTGACCATTATCACCATTTTCATCACTATTATCATCACTATTACCATTACTATTATATCACTATATTTGATGACAATAGTGATGATAATAATATCATAGTTGATGTAATATCATTATATCACCATCATTATTTTCACCAAAAACAATTTCACTATATTATCATTATATCACTATCACTAGTTGATATATCACCATCATTATAGTTTATGATCAAAAGTCAAAAGTGATATTTCATGATGGTGATCATAATAATAGTGATCATAATAATAGTGATCAGTCACTAACTATTATTAGTTTATGATAATCAAAAGTCACTATTATCAGTCATAATCATACTAATGGTCACTATTATTAGTTGATATATCACTATTATTAGTTGACTGTTCAAAAGTGGTTAGCCTCCAATGTCCACAGCTCCAAGGCAACGGCGAAATCGGCGACATCGGCGGCCTCCTTGGAGAAATTACGGTGACTCGACGTCGACGTTGACCTGGAGGTGTGGTGGACCCAAGCAATCTACAACGCATCATAGATATAAGTTATAAGTGATATTAATATATATATAGTATATGTAATCATGTAATCAATTACACCTTCATAATATGTATATATATATAATGAACGTGTAATTACTATTACTCTCCCAATGACAAATATAGTAAGACCACGTAAGACATCGTACAAGCTACTATCCGCAAGAAGTAGCGATGGTAATCCACAAAATGATAGACATGTAGCATCCTACAAAACATGTTTGTCTATTTTTTTGCAGGTTACTATATTATAGTAATGATTGTGACTGCTGGCAGGTAACGATAATTGATGAAATAATGATCATACTGATAGTAGTAATAAACAATTATTACAATAGTACGCATAATCAGAACGATGAAACATCAATGATGACCATGATATCAAACACGACAACCATAACAATAGCAACGATATAATTATTCCCAAAGATTGTGGATGAACTGTAAATCATCTCTAATCACTGTTTACCAGAAATAGGTTGCATAAACCATTCCAAGGGTTAAAGAGGTTGATGGCATTGGGTTTACCGCAATGTACGTTCCATTGGTTACCAATTACCAAATTGATTGATGGATTGCCCCCTCCTTCCATGAAAATACTGATGGCTGAGGATGGCTGTTTCACCTTCTGATTGGTGTAATGATGTTGGAGCTGGAACTGGGGAAACTGAAGAATCCTGGTCATTTCAGGTCATGACTGGGCTTGAGAGTTCCGCAAAAGAAATAAAGTTTCACAGAAACTGATTTGGGAGGTCAGAGAAGCCACACAGCCACAGGTCATGTGGCATGGACCAGCCAGCATCCGCATGCTACGGGTTTTAATCCCGTTCACCGTTCATCTTAAATGCCTCCATTCTAAGGTCCCAATCACATCCCCTACATCCACCATGGTTTCTAGGAGGTGTTTAACATGAACGGGGCTAGGCTTCATCTACATTCACTGTAGAAATGTCTACCATAAAAACCAGTGAAAAAACCAGATATTAGCTATAACCAGTGAAAAACCAGTTAAAAACCTAAAAACCAGTTGAAAAACAAATTAAAAGCCCAGATATTGACTATAGACTAGTGATTTTGGAACTTCTTTTGAGGCCGGAAAGCAGCCCGGAGGCTGCCCTGAAGCTGGGCAGGGATGGCTGGAACCCAACCAAAAAATGATGGGTTTTTATCAGTTTTGAACTGCGAAAACCAGTGGGAAATGATGGTTGGTTGATGATTATTGAGGGCCATCCTAGCCTTTGATTGTTGAAATCCTAACTTGTTCTGCGAATGTCATCAGGTTCTTGATGTTTCTTTGGAGGTATACTCGTGCCATTGTCATGCGACCAGTACTGACTAAATCTCAAGTAAACACAAAACAGGTTGATTGACAAAAATTGGTCGGACTCAAGATGATGGATGGTACCAGTACCACCAAAGGATTCACGAGGATCATTGGGAGTCCTCCGGATTGAAACAGAAAGAATTGAGTTTATCCAAAAACATGGGGGGTACCTAAAAATCCCGTGGTTGATCATGATATTTCCCCAGTTTGCAATTGTTGTGGGTGTACCGCCCTCTTCATGTAGCACGCCTGACTAAAGACTTGACCCTGGGCAGCGAGCCATGGACAGCAGCATCTATGCTGTGCGCTCCATGGTACTTCCCAAGGCACAGGTCATGGCGGTCGGTCGTTGTCTTGAAATGAGTGATGTATATTCTTTGCCAATTCAGGATGTGAGATCATCCAGTCAGCATAGCATAATTCATAGTATAATGTTTATGTTTATAATGTTTATCTATTTTTTCCTGAGTGGAGCAGATGAATCCATTCCCAAATTTGTTTTAGGGGAGATGATCTGCGGTGCCCAAACGGTTGTAGCTTTCTCACCCAGATTGCACACTTTCAGCGTTGACAGGCACTGCCCCAAAGAGCCTTGTCATCCAATTAGCGCGGCAGGCTGAGAGGAACTGTAACATGCAGAGACAACAACTAAGAGATTGTTCTCTACTCGATACGTGTCTATCATTGTCTTTATTCAATAAGGCAAAGCTGTCTCCATGTGGTCAAAAGTCGGGCATCCCCAAGAACGCCGAGGACTCACGACCCGGGCATCGCCAAAACCTCTGAGGTCTTTCGAACCGGGGTTGTACCGGGGTTGTGGGTTGGAGGTGATGGAAGAGATGAGTTAGCTGACATCTGACATGTTGATTGGGATTCAATAAGGGTTTCATGGGGGAGTTACTGGGAGTAGTGGGGGTTCAATGGGGAGTATAACGATAGTGATTCTTGTTAGAAGTGTGTTGGATTTTGTTGGATATGCTATTTGTTGTGTGATTTTGAGTCGCTATACTGGTAGAGAGCATGAGTTTTTTGTGTTTTCCCAATGAATTGACCACCTAAGATCCACCAGTGTGTTTGGAGCTTGAAAGAAGTGACCAGTAAAAGTTGTGGCGTTTTCTTTAAAGGCTACCCAGCTACAGTGGAATGCTAAAGTCGTGCCTAAAATTTGGAAATCATCGTAAATAGCTGGGGAGCACTTGATTTGAAAAGTCGTGCCTTTTTAGTAAAACGCATAGGAATTGCAATGTTTTGTTGGATTTGGTCTTTGGAATAGTTTTTGTTAATAAATCTTGCGTTTAGGTTGTGTTTAGCATCAAGGGTACCTTTTCCATATTGTTAATAAATCTTGCGTTTAGGTTGTGTTTAGCATCAAGAGTACCTTTTCCATATTGTTAACAAATCTTGCGTTTAGGTTGTGTTTAGCATCAAGAGTAACCTTTTCCATACCAAGTCAAACTGGATGTGAGTGCAGCGATGAGTTGGTGTTTCTATCTTTTTCTTTCCAGTGTGCTGCGGCAGCCATTTTCACTTTTCACTGCATGCTCAACGTGGCATTGTGGCACTTCAGCGTGTTGCTTGAGATGGAGGTGAGAAGGGTCATTGTTGTGTCTTCGTGTCGGCTTTAGTTTCTTATGTGGTTCCGCAGGCGGGTGGGCAGAGAGCCTTTCTTGTTATTTTTTGACGTCGTTTGCTACGTCGTTCGGACCTCGTTCGGCACGTCGTGGTTTCAAAAATAGGAAACCTATAGGAGAGGTTGGTTGGTGTGAATCACAGATGGCAGAGCGAAGCCACTGATGGACCGAGAGAAGCAAAGCGAAAAGAGTCAGCAAAGCGAAAAAAGTCAGCGGACCGAAGCGGCAAGTATTTCTCAACCCCAGAAACATGAACGGTAGAATGCAACTGTAGACGGATTTTTGCGAACATTTGATTTTCCCAAGTGTGGAAACATTCTTCTTATACATACGCGATTCCATGGTGTTTTAAGATTTGGGCATGACTTAGGCATGAGTTTCTTGAAACAGCGATTCCATGGTGATTTACTAGCAAGTTTTGACCCAGGCATGAGTTAGGCATGAGTTTGTCGTTTGACTGTATGGTTGGAACATACTGGATCGTTGTTGCCACTGGTTGGTGGTGACTGGAACATGACTGGATTATGACTTTCCATCATCTTGGGAATGTCATAAACCCAACTGACGAACTCATATGTTTCAGAGGGGTAGGTATACCACCAACCAGATTATGATCATCCTTGTTGAACAAGAATGACCTTTATGTTTCTTCCGCCAAATGATACGATCAGCCTTGCTGCGTAGAGCCTCAAAGTGACGCAAGAGTTGTCACACTCTATAAGATCAAGATAATCAAGACCCATGATTTACATGAATCTTAATATAAATCAATATAAATCAATCAACAATGATCATGAATGACATAAATCATCATAAATCACTACAGTATATAAATCCCTCGCTGGGCGCTCCAGCTTCATCCCAGGCATCCCATGGGTCGATCGATGTCCAGGAGCTCGGGACATGAGATGGCTACAATATGGCTATAAATCATTCATATTCATTAATATTTATAGTATTATATACATATAATTATATATGTATTTATTTATATATTCATATATATATATGAATATATAATGATCATATATAATTTTCATGTAAATCATCCATGTGATCCAGAATGATACGATTTAATCCTTGGGGGATTGATTATACGGGATCAATCCGTATTGGACCCATCTTCATCAATAGAGATCTATATAATTATATTATATATATATTTATTTATTTATATATTCACCCACTATACATAGCGATGCCCAATCTGTTCATGATCGATCTCAAAGGCTAGCAATGTGTTCATCTCAAGACCAGGGGAAGCCGATGTGAAGCCAATGTGGTTTGGGAAGACAGAAATGCTGGTTAGGGACTGACACTTAAATTGTCCAAAGACCTATGACTGCCCAAGATCATTAATGATGATTAATAGTCATTCACATTATCATTAACTGTTAATATGATGAACAATCATTGACTGTTAATTAGTAATCATTGACTGTTAATGATTAAACATGTTTAACAATAATTCATACTCATGAAAAAGGAAAAAATCCGTTGATGTTAATCACTAACAGCAACCCAGCAAGACAAGCAGTTTCAACCTTCAGCATCCCCCAGGACTGCCACTGCCCGGCTTGCCGCTGTTGGCGCTGTGGCCCTGCGCCGGGTCGCAAGGGGCGCCAGTCTTCGTGATAGTGAGGGGCGTCACCTGGTTGAAAATTGGGGGTCCCAGATTTTGTTGAGAAAATCTAGAGGAAACCCCAAACTGTTTGTGCAAAACAACATACTTTCCTGTCTGTTTTTTCTCAAATCAATCCATTGAGTTGGGTTGCAGGAAGGGTTTTATGAAGGGGTCATCAGGAAATATGAGGAAATTGTGACTCCATTTTTTGTGTACCACAGATGACTACCATCCGACACTGGGTGGCAAGTCATAGGTTGTCATGGGTAGGTCGTGAGAATTGATGCGTAAGGGTAACATGATGCAATCAACTCTTCGTACCGAATCATGGTTACAGCAGATTGGGGCACAGAGAGCTTGCTCCTAATGTCGGTGCAACCTGATGATAGCAGTTGATGTTGGTAGATTTGTACTATACTTCCAAGGGGGAACAACGTACTAATGGTGGCGGTATGATGTTAAACAAATGCATTGTGTGATGCTAAAGAACAATCAAGGTTCAAATCTGGCATTCGTAGATTGCCAACAGGTATCATTCATCAACCTTTTCTTAGTGTCAGTTTTTAACTCAACCAGGCATTACATCCTTAAAAAAGCCTCAAGCACACATATTTCATCCACTTTCCTAACCATCAAACTCTATCAAGTTTCAAGTTTATGGCCCCAAATCTATCATGTTTTTTCCCCAAGCGTCAAACTTCAAGTTGGTCACTCCGCCAGGTAAGATCCACGAGGCACCCAGCTTTGACGCCCGGGACGGCAGCGACCTGGTCGTAGGGCGCCAATTGGCAATTTTCGAGAGGCGACCCTTTGGGGTATTGGCCTATGCACCTAGCAGGACGCCTGGTGGATGTTGAGATATTGATGAACCGATGGGGAGGTTTGGGAATTTTTGGGGGAAATTGGAAGATCGATATGATATGAAGATGACATAAGATAACTCTGATAGTTTGGAGATGTTTTTGCAATCCGATGTACCGGTTTTGGTGGATTTGGAGAGATTTTGTGTAGTTATCGGCCAAAGGTGTCTGGAGATGGATGCATCACTCCTGTTGTCTTCTTCCGCATACTCTGACTATTCTGATTTGTATTGTATGAAAACTCCATGGTGTGATCAGAATCCTGTGAAGTGGGGTTTACCAGGGAGATATACTAGATATACCAGGAAGATCCAGGAAGTCTCACAGACTTCCCTGTGTTTTTCGTGGGCGATGGTTGCCCAGGAATGGCATTGGCGCAATGGTGTGGGAACTTGGCCAGGAAAGATATGTGGGCGATCCTCAAGGGCGGGCTGCAAGGCAAGGTGTGGTGGAGAGAATGGTGGCGACCCGGCAGCTCAACTGGATGTAACTGATCGATATTCATGGGGTATAGCCATGGCCCATGAATAGCCCCCATAAATCCATCTGGGATGATTTTTGTTGACCCCCATGGTTGGTGAATGGGGATGCAACTGGATGTTTCTGGCATATTGGTTTTTCATCTTTTTTTTCAACATGGAGGACGCCGCCTTGGTGAAGTTCTCTGATGTTAGTTCCACACCAGCCATCCCATTAGAATGGAGATTCAGTCCGTTGGTTTTTGATGTTTTTATTTCGATAGGATTGGCGTTCGATAGGATTTTTGAGCTCACATCATGTCACCACAAACTCGATGGATGATTACGAGCCAGTTGCATTTTTTGACTTGATGTGTTAAAGCAAATCGGCAACAATGACCCACTATCATCTAGCTTCGGTCTAAGCCTTGAGTTTCCTGGTGTTGATGGAATGAGATCCAGCCAGTCCATGTACCTATTGACCATTCGATGTCCAACGTCCGATCATTCTCCTCTTTCAGATCCAAAGTCCTAATGTGTTTTACCGTGTGTCATCTAAGGGTCGCTCTGACGGCATGGCAGCATCACATTTCCCCAGCGGGTTTCTGAGGTGAAGCGCATCAACGGCACAGACATCTCGACTTGGCAGTTCCAAGATATTTTGGACCTGTTGAACGACAAGATCTTGGACAATTCCAGTGCCCTGGTGACGCAAGATGTGCCACGATGTGCAACAGCAATCTGAAGAATAGCAATGCCGGAAAACATAGAAAAGATCTGACTTTAAAGATCTTTAAAGATATATATATATCCCTAAGCATCTTTGGGCTTTCGCTGCGAGGGGTCGGGATCTCGTTGGGAGGGGTCGGACCCCTCGACCCTCTGAGCGAGGGGTCGGGGCCCTCGTTCAAATTGAAACGAGGGGTCGCGAGGGGTCACGAGGGGTCATGAGGGGTCGCGACGTCTCGAGGGTGCTTGGAAGGTGGGTTTATAATGTTTTAGTGTGATATAGTGTGCTTTACATATTTGTTGGTTGTAGTATGTTGTAGTCAATTTTGGTACGTTCCAGGTAGATTGAGACCACAGTCTCTAGATAGACCCAGTTGTTCAAACCCCTTCTTGATCCTGAATTCTTATGGCAAAATGCCCGCTCCATTGTGCAAATAACCCGGTTAGTTGGCTGGATGACCTGCAAACATCGAAGCTGTCCAACGGAAGTAGAGGGAAATTGGTTACTGTACATTTTTGGAACCTAGAGTTTCCAGCAGAAAGAAAAGAACATCTAAGATCATATAAGACCATATAAGACACATTTTTCAAATGCTCACATGGACATAGTCAGATCGAAGTTTTTCTGTGAGATTCATAGTTCGAGTGGAAAATGGGGAGTGCTTTGATGGAATCATGTCCATCTAGCGGGTAGAAATTAGCGGGCTTTGCTTGAAAGGCATTTGTTTGATGATGTTTTATTGAGAATGCTTGACTGCAAAGCAAGTAACTTGTTTTTGCTGCATGGTTCAAGTTTCCAGGTATTTTTGAACCCCAGACACATTTCAACCACCATATGGCCAGAACAAAAACATTGATTTGAAAAGCAATATACATTCATTCAACAACATAATTATAAATTATAGTTATTAAATTGCTGTGCGTTATTTCCCTCGCGACTTCTGCCGTGTCACAAGTATCTTTATCACAATGCAAAATAATGCATTAATGATATTAAATGACATCATCCTGACAATGACAAAAAGTTGAACAGTTAGTTAATTACAAAGCAATTGATATCCGAGTAATTAATCGCTTAAACAAACCAGTATGTATCGATCAAAGCATAGCCCGTATTATAACATAAGGTTCAAGAATATGGTGGATATCAAAGCTGATAAAGGCTCTAGGAGTTGAGGCGTTTCTATAGTCCAAATTTTGGATAGGACATTTTGAAGATCAAACAATCAATGTCTCCGATTTCCTTTTTTCTTCCCCCAGGGCTGGCACGTGTCAAAGCAACGCTGGGCAGAACAGCCAAAGAATACTGAACCTTGCATAATCCAACTCTGGGAAGTTCGCGACAAACCAAGTTTTTACCAGTATAGATGCATGACTAAATTTCAATCCAATTCTGGCTGCATCCCATATGATATTTGTTTGATTGCATGTTTTTAGCGTGCGCAATGGCGCGAAACAAATCCACTCTAAAGTGCTGCAATTCGCATGGATAAGGAATACATGCAAGTTGCTTAGAAAAATGGAGGCTTCAAAAACTGCCAAGAAAAAAAAAATCGTTCTGTCTTCCATTTACCTTCCATCTTAAGCAGAAAAAAATGAATTCCAGGACTTTGCAAAAAATCAGAGGAAACCCACAGTTTTTTTCCGAAATGAAACCCGTGCCTGTGTCATCAGAAAACATAGCACCTTTACAGATCTTTACAGTCAGGCACATGAGAAACAGCGGACATTCAGAGAAAACAGAAAAACATTGGAAACATCGGAAAGCGCACCGCAAACATCCGAAATGCCATCAGAAGCATCGGAAACACATCGGAAAGGCATCGGAAAGACATCGGAAAGGCATCGGAAAGGAAATTGTGACCCCTCAAAATGCATTTGTTTTGACGTCCCGCAAGGACCCGGGCATCGGAAAGGCATCGGAAAGGCATCGAAAAACATCTGGAAACATTGGAAAGCATCGGGAAACATCGGAAAGCATCGGAAAGGAAAACATCGGAACCCCCCTGGAAGAACCTGAACAAGGATGGAAACTCCCGCTCTCTTTCGGACTCGTTGATTTGCAGTACAAAGCAGCCGCACTGGAGTTTGGAGATTGCAGTTTTTTGTATTTTAATTCCTTGCTTGTTTGCTCAGCAGTCAAGGTTGATAGGATGCTCGTGACAAACTAGTCCACCAAAAGAAAATTGTACGTCATATGAGGCTGTCAATGATTTCACTCAGGTTGCCTGGATTCCAAAATTAAATAGGGAGCAAATAAGTTGCAAGATTGTCTTTATTTGGAGGCCCTTCTTTAATTGGAAACACAAAGCCCGAATATATAATTATTATAACTATATATATATATATGTGTATGCATGTTTAATAGGACAAACACCACTGAACCGACTTTTTGATGGAGTCTGTTGAAGTCGTATCAAGTTAGACTTGCCTAGAACAGCCCAGCTACAATCATATTTCTTCTGTGTTACGTCTTTGAAACAAACGCTCCGTCAATAAAGCTTGAGAGCACACCTTTCAGTTTCGTGACCATTGCAGGCGCACACAAACTAGACTCCAGACTTTGCATTTTAACAAGCAATGTCCTTTTTCACATCGTTTTGGTTTGTCAGAACGGCGCCAATGCCAAGTTCAGGAAACTCCCTATGGGTTGCGTTTGACTTCCTTTGTAAAATGCCTCGCGTTTTGATTGCGCGGGGTTTTATTCAACATAACTTGGCAATCAGCATACACACACACACCACACGCACACACACACACTCAAACGCACATGGTGATATTTGTCCAAGCAAGTGAAAAACACATTCAGAAAATTGCGTACTGGGATACTTTTTGTGGATGGTTGGACACCAGCATCAATGCAGACACTTCCTTCTACCGAGTTCATTCAAGTGCACGTCAGGAATCAAATCAGTACTGCTAGCAGGTAATTACATGCAGAATGCGTTTCTTCCTAGTCCTGTAGTGCATGATGCTGCCCGTCTGGACCACTGTCTGTGAGCATGTGTTTTTTACACATGTAGGCATAGGCAATGCGAAGAATATTCCGCCCTCCTCACTATCAAAATTGATCAAGACTATTTGTTTGCAAACAATTATGATGCTGGCTTTTATCAGGGAGAAAAATTATGTCGAAGCATGTATTGAATTTCAATAAACTCTGGCGACGCCAATGGTATGCGCCATTAGAAACTGGTAGGAAACGGGTCACATTTCTTGTCCACAGCGTTGAGTTGAGATGAATCCGGAATGGTTTATTGTATTCAAGTACCCTGCATAGGGTAGAGGTTACGGCTTGTCCTAATTCTGAAATTCTCAAGTTCGGCTAGCAACACAGCGCTTCTGATGAAAGTATTATTTTTATTGTCATTGTGGTTGTAGTCCGACGAAACCAGGGTTGACGGGGAAATATGGGTTGGAAAGTGCAATCGCATTAAAAGATTCTTGGGCCATCAAATTTGGGTACCTCATGGTACCTCGTGGACCCTCGCAAATGCCTGACCTTGGGATCCTTCTTTACGAGGTTCCAATCAAATTTGGATGCTTTGGGATATATATATCTATTTGTACGTATATACATAAATATACTGTATATATATATAAATACATTAGTTAGTTATATTATATATTATATATTCATATATTTGTAGGATATTGGTGTTCCTTTCTTAGGGTTGAGATTGTTCTCCAAGCCTCGCGGATGTTGATGTACCGCTCGCAGCAGGTGGCAAGTTTCAGAGTCTCTCCAGGGGACAGATGACCAATTCACCCGCAGAGCTGCCGGTGACGATAGAGTCCCCTGACCAAGGGAAGAATGGCTGGGTTGGAGCCAAATTTGATTGGTATAAGGATATTTTTTTGGTGAATATATAAAATTGATATAACATATAATATATAAGTATAAGTAGTAATACAAATTATATCATTATTAGTTGGAACTCCATTTCTAGGTTTGATTTCAGTGATAGAAGATGATCCACAGGCACTTGAGGCGGGACATTTTGGGAATGTGTAACTGGCTGTGCCATTGATTTGACTCAGTCCTCAAGCTATGATGAGCAGGTTTCAACATGAACCCCAACACCATGAAAGAAGAAAGAGAACACCTGCGGTGTTCTTTTTCTCCATTCTTCTGATAGTGTTTGACACTACTGAGCCACCGAATCCAATTAAATCTGCTTCACAAAGCCGTGTTTTCTGCGGGCCCGCAGGTTTGTCCAGCTGAAACAAGCAGATAAGACTCCAGCAGGTGTGGACGAGGGGAGGACCTTGTGTCTGATTCACGGGCATCTCAAATCCCAGAAATTTATGGAACAAAAACATGTTTTCCTGTGTTTTGTTCCTCAAATCAAGCCATTCATCAAAGTCGCGGCATTGGTGAGCAATATCAGCATGACTGACAGGGATTGAGATTTGCGCATGTTAACCTGTATTTTGTTGCTGTCCCCGTCGTTGTGCTCATCATTGAGCACAACAACAATGAGTCATGGTTGATGAGTGGAATACACATGACAATGAGACACTTAGCAACAGTGAACATCATTATCAACACCATCATCATTGATGCTCATTAATATGAGTAAATATCAGCTGTCAATATTTGTCCCAAGATCAAGATCCCCAAGATCCCATTATCAATACATGACATGTCAGTAAAGAGCAACTATCCCAAGGTCAAGGAATATCTGGTTGGTGGTTTCAAACATGTTTTATTTTCCATTTCATATATGGGATAATCCTTCCCATTGACGAACTCATATTTTTCAGAGGGGTAGGTATACCACCAACCAGCCAACCAGTATTTATACACTAAATGAATCCTATAAATCAATAATCCCCAAGATATCCACATTTAGTGTATAAATAGGATCATTTATATCCACACTAAGTGGAGTTTGATTTATATCCTTATCCCCAAGATATCCCATCAAACTCCACTGATCCACATCTGATGAAGTCACAGGACCTTCTCCACCTATCGACCTGGACCCAGAGCCGTGCCCAGCGGGACTCCTGTCGTACGAGGGGCACGTGGACGACGATTTCTTGGAGCGACTGCTCCGTATACAGCGGGACCATGCTGGGCAGGTGGGGTGGTCACATCTGGTAGTGACATCGCAGGTCGAAGGTGTACCAAATGTGGTAACAAATGTGGTAATTTGACGTAGCTATGGAGAATCATATGGAAGATCATCATTTCAAAGAAAACATCATAGATCATCATAAATAGTCATAAATCATCATAAATCATCTACAAAGAATCATAAATCGTCATACATCGTCATAAATCGTCGTAAATCATCTATAAATGGGCAATTCTCCATGGCTATTATATGCTATTGTCTTGAATAGCCAGAGGCCCCTTGAAGGTCATTCTCTCCATTGACGATGCCGTTCGCTTGGTGGACGACGTTGCCGAGCTCTTGCGGAAGGAGGAGACGTTGCAGCGGGTTCAGCTTCAGCAAGTGGTGGTGGTGGGGGACCTTCATGGACAGTTCTTTGACCTACTGCGGATCTTTGATACCACCGGAAACTGGGTGATGGTTGAAGCGTATCCCAAACTGGGAGGTTGGGCTGGACGGTGGAACTATAGTCAAATTATGTCAAATTAGAGGGTACTGGTGGTTATGAAATGGTCTGAATATGTCTGATTGAAATGTGGGGGATCAATTGGTTTGTAGCTCTACGACTTTATCCCCACTAAGCAGATGATGATTTCCACTGACTTTGCATTTGCTTCAGACGTTTTTTCCCCAACCACCATCCAGGAAAGGTAAGCGAATCGAATCCATACCTCTTCAATGGAGATTTTGTGGATCGTGGTGCTTTTTCTCTGGAGACCATCCTGCTGCTCTTCGCGTTGAAACTTCGCTTTCCAAGAGCAGTTTTCATGAACCGCGGGAATCACGAAGCAGCGGAATTGAATTTGAGATACGGCTTCGCTGCAGAGATTCGAGAGCGCTATGGTGCGGCTGGCAAGCGTTTGTTCGATGCCTTCGCCGAAAGCTTTCGATGGCTACCTTTAGCACATGTGCTAAATGACGAGGTGCAGCCAAATGATATTTTGAACCAGTCATGTATCATGGGCGATTATCTAGAATGTGTATGAATTTTGTTACCATCATCATCATCATAATCATCATCATCAATATCAATCATTACTAGTAATGTGGTTAAATAATGATAGTGATCATCATATCATTATCATCATCATCATCCCATTCATTCTAGTTCATTTTGAGCCTTCTGCTCTTCGGCCGAAGGTCTTTGTGGTCCACGCCGGGTTGCCGGGTCCAGATCCCCGTTTGCCCTTCAACGATGCGGGTGGCAAGGGCACGGGTTACGATGCCATGGTGGACAGCGGCCGCCGGGGCGGGGGCCAGAACCTGTCACTGTTGGGCCACTTGCCAGATATGGATACATATGTCAGTTTCAAATGCCAAGTGTTGACATTTTTCTCAAAGAGTCCTTGTTCTTTTTTTCTTTGCATCTGCTTTCAGAACAAAATACGTCAGTTATTTGCCTTTTCCCAACAAGCCCAAAACAAAGATTGGCTGGCGAATCCTTATCGCGACATAAGGCTAAAGCTATAAAATCCCCGAACACAGCCACCCAAAAAATATTAAAGTGGTGAATTCTGTCAACATATAGCAGCAACTAGAATATACAGTATAGCATAGTATAGCTATAGTATACTATAATCATCACAAGTTTTGAATACCTGAAACTCCTTATAAATCGCACCCACATAAATAACGCAACAACATATGTGAATTCTGAGGATTACATCGAAAAAAAACAATTAATCCCATTGAAAGAATATCGAAAGCACATCAAAAATTGTTGTAGTAGGTACATGAAGGTACAACATCTAGGTCTCAAAATGATATCAGTTCAAGAGTATCTTAAAAGTAGTTCAATCATAGTATAGCAACCCCAGAATTTAGGAACGTCAAATCCCACTCAGTGATAAATCACTTTTTTGGCATCTTTTTTTGAGGGGTTGCATATCACACTATAGTATACTAGTTGGTTAACCCATACTATATCCATATAGTTATATCCCATTATTATATCCCCAATAAACATCCATAAACTATAGTTAAACCATGTTAACCCCCTAAAACAGTAATACATCCAGAGAAATCCATCACTTTGTTGGGGTGCCATTATCATAAACTGCTAAATCACCCATAAAACAGTGATAAATCATGATCAATGGCCATGTCAGGAACCGAAATTGGAGGTACCGATAGTTAAACATAAATGGCAGTGTGTCAAAACCTTGTACCCCTGGTGAACATCAAAATAGCTGGTAAATGGATGTTCATCCCACTAAAAATGGTATTATAGGTATTGATGCATCCCCAAATCAACCACTTTGTTGGGGGTGTCATCCAGCTCCCGTAAAGGCTACAACCCGGACAACGTCAGCCTGCCGCCGCGGCGCCATGAGCTGAGCCTCCAGGACATCGCCAACCTGCCGCGCGGCGGCGACCCGGCCACGGACCTGCGGGACTTGGAACGGCTGCCGGAGGCAAGGGATTCCCGAAAAAAAAAGGGGGGAAGGGTGAGGAAAACCATGGAAAACTGGAAAACAATGAGATTTAGATAATTTTTATAGATTCGTTCTCTTCATTCATTCGAGGAACTTCTAACACGCTCTTGATGCTATGCTTTTCGCTTTTTATTCAGCCAACTTCCAACGCGCTCTTGATCTACGCCCTTTTCACTCTTTCAAGTAACTTCTATATGATATGCTACGCTCCTCACTTTTGAAAGTAACTTCTGACATTATTTTTGTATCTTCTCATGTGTCATCATCTGTGGTTTTATTTTTGTTAAGTCTCGCTTCGATCGTTCCAACTCGCATGGTCGCTAAGCAGCAAAACATCACCCAATTTCGTGCCAAAAGGTGCCGCAAAAACTGCTAAACATTACTTTTGAAACCCTGGAAAAATTGATTTTAACTAGCTGATTAGGTGTTGTTTTTGTTGTTGTTGTTGTTGTTGTGGTGGTGGTGGTGGTGGTTGGGCGGTGGTTAGCCTTTCTTTCGCCTGACGCACTCCCCCTTGCTGCCAGCCGGGGTCGCCGGATCCTCCCATATGATTTAAATTAAAGGGTTTGTGACATTTATCATAACCTTACAAGAGTCTGCAATTTCCACAATGGTAAATGGAATTGATGGTTTACCTATGGTTAATGATGTTGAATCATACATGAAATAACTATATGATTTGAATTATGAGTTGTTGTATACATAACCACCAAAACAATTACGTTTGGCTAGGGAAGTCGCAATGAAATCGCAATGAACATTATATTTATACCTGGACCAAACCAGTCCAAACCATTTTGTTGGGTCTGGTGCTAAGATGTTACAAGTTATAGTGTAGTGAAGAGTTCTTTGAGGGATATATGTTGGCAGGAAATATCACTCAAACATCGTGATGTGTTTTGACCGGTCCCATCACGTGTGGATCCCAGCTGTTGTTTTGTTTGGAAGGATGTTCGGGTTTATTCATGGCGAGTTGCTGTGCATGTTGTTTCAATATGATTGTAAAGTATTGTAAAGTGCCATTGAGGATCGATCGGATCCATTGGGATCCATAAACTCTATAGGCGTGTTTGCCCTACCATTCACGCGATTTTTTTGCTGGCCTGAAAGGTGGGTGCCCTATTGCATTGATGGTCCCTACCAGATAGAAATGGAGTTATAATAAGTTATAACATGTTGTAAGTATCCATACCAGGGAGCAACTAGGAGTAGTGTGTTTTGCATTCATTTGCCAGTGAGTATCCATATTATTACATATTATTACATATTATTACATATTATTACATATTATTACATATTATTACATATTATTACATATTATTACATATTATTACATATTATTACATATTATTACATATTATTACATATTATTACATATTATTATACCATATATAAACATATTAACATATTAATTATTCCCAACATATTGCTGACACATATATTCCTTAGGTATTCCTAGCTAGCATATGATTATGAGTCAAAACCTTGGCACCCTAGGCCCTAGGTACGCTAAGTCATAGCTGGTGAATGGATGTTTCTTCCCCAAGAATATGGTAATTTCATAGGTTGCTTGACCCAACCCTTATATTATAACCACATTTGCATAGTAATATATGCAATAGGCTTGGAATATTGGAAAGCACCATTTACATAGCCAAAGTTGCTTGGAATGGGCTTGGAACAAGGTAATTGCATAGTTTGACTTGACCCATCCCAATATTGGTCAAACTCACCATATTGCTGACATATTCCTAACATATTCTAACAGCATGTTGTTATTAGTTTCGTGCGCTGCCCAATAGAGCATTTCACCAAATGCTGATTGGCTCTATCATTGCAATGTGGGTGTGTGCCAGGCTCATGGACCAAGAGTATGATTTTACATCATATTATAACTCCAATACCTAACATAATATAATAGTCCTAACATATTATATACATATATGACCATATCATAACTCCATGAATGGGTTTACACACATTATAACTTCATGTCATGGCGGATGGAGGTTTACTGACCCATCATCCAGGCGGAGGCGGAGGTGCAGCGTTTGATCGTCGATCTTCTCTGGGCGGATCCTCGTGGAAAGACCGGAGCCTCGGTGGAGATGTGGGCTTCGTTGATGGCTGGAAATTGTGTGGGAAATCTATGGGAAAATTCATCAATTTTCCAGTTTCACAGGGGAAATATGAATGGGAAAATATATGAGGAAAATCACCAATTTTAGTGATAGCTGGTTAATCTGGATATAAATAGGGATATGGTTCCGACCGTTTTTGGTGAGACAGTGGATGGAAGAATCATGCATCGGTTGGTAACTATTGGTAACTATGAAACACTTTAATGAATGCATATGGGACAAACCATCTACCAACTGGTGCAGGATTTCTTCCATCCACAGTATGAGTGATTTTAGCCACTAAAATATGAACATGACCTATTTTTTTAGAAAATGAGACATTATGCGTTTCACCCTTAAATTGTTATGTAAAATAATCTACAGCCATGAAATAGGTGGAGTGAAAAATCACCAGTTATATAATGTTATATAATAGGTACAAATCATTAAACTAAATGGGCCATGGTTTCCATAGCTGCCATAGCTATGTCAAATTACCAGATGGTATATGGGGGCAATGATGCCGCTCAAACCGACAACAAATTTGGGGTATGATTCAATGTTCAGAGAAACCCTAATCAAAGGTATATTAAAGGTATCCTAAAGGTATATTGGAGGCAAGAACATGACCAAGAAACTTGTATAACTGTATAATAAAAAGTATAAAGATTGCATATAAAATGTATATTGAAGGTGTATTACATTGTATTTAAAGGACGTATTAAAGGAATCTTGAAGTTCATAGTCAATAAAGTGGTATGTTAAAGGTATATTGAAACTATAGCAAAGGTATAGTCATTGCATTTAAACTATGGTTGATCAAAACATGTTTCTTACTATGTTACCTCTATATACTTCATCAAAAAAACGAAAAACCATGGTCATACAAGAGAAATGAGAGGAAAGCTGAGTTTCAGTAAAAAAATGTATTACACCCTTCCACACATGATAGTTTTCTTGCAAGAATAGTGGTTCTTATTTAAGGGAATATTTTGGTTTCAAGGCAGATTTGTAACTTGTAAGCGGCATTTTCCTGTAGCAACATTTTTCTTCAAATCAAATGCTTTGGAGACTTGGTTCTTCCCATGTTCCCAATGTTTCTTTCTGCATCTCTAACAAACAAATATGACAACATATCTTCTGCCAAAAGGGTGCTTCAGGTGGTATTGGAGGGGTAAGAGAAAAACAGTGAAAAGGTAGATTTGTTTGGGGGTAGCATATATATATAGTATATCCTCATACAATCAACACATCGCACTTAGTTTGGGCATATCAAGTTCAAGTTTCCTCAGCATGAACTTCAGGGATCATCATCCCAGCATATCCCAGCATCGCAAACCGAGGCTATGGTCCCTCCTACCGCGTGCGCAAGGGTTGCTACATCTTTGGCCCCGACGTGACCACGGCCTTCCTCCGAAAGAATCAGCTGCGACTAATGATCCGATCGCATGAAGTCAAGGTGCAGGGCTATGAATGGTACCTTGGCGATCGCCAAGGGATACACGGAAGGTAGGATTGATAGGATATTCAGGTCTGATCACTGGTGGAAATTGCATGAAATTGCTGTAATTAAGTGTTTTGCCCAAGATATCAGAGGAATTTCACTAGAGGATACTAGAAACAAGTTGGGAGTGGAGTCAAAAGTCTCTCTGGACCAGGCCGGGAAAATTGACTAGTTATTTTCAGGATTTACTGTTTAAGTAATTTTTGGGGTCCCAACGCTGATGGCTGAGATATGCAAAATCACTAGCTTGGTACGTTAACAGTGGGAGGGGAGAGTCGTGCTAGGTGACCGGCACGGTTTCCAGTGCAAAGACCAGCATCAATAGATGAAGATGAAAAAATCACATACCTGGGGGCGTGTCTGAAAATGGGATACCCCAAAATCCTGTGGTTCTATGACGTGTTATGTATCATTTGCTTGCCCCTTAAATTACAATGGCATGAAGTAAATTCATGTAAATTCCCAATTTTCAGGTACCACGGCCAGCCACCCGAGCATGGGTAGCTCTCATGCGGGGTCCAATCCTTTACGCTCAGGACTCACTCTGACTGCATCACAGTGTTTTCAGCTCCCAACTATTTGGGCCATGCCCGGAACAAGGGCGCCGTAGTCAAGTTGACCTTGAATGAAGAAGGTCATTTGACACCATCCTTCATTACATATGAGCCTCAGGTGACCGCTGTTGCTTGAGGCCGGAATGATGCTGAATGCAAGCATGAGGTCTGTCCAAACACAGGCATACAGTTCATGATTGTATGTTTATCAGAAAGAAGGGGTTTCAAACAGTCAGATGCGGATACCAATCTCTATCGAATGCAACACTCCTGTGCTATTATTCACTGCTCGACCTGAATTAATTGCTATCATAAGGGTAAAAAAATGCTTGCATCCTGGCAAATTATTCTTCAAAGCCTAGGTGTTTGTTGACAGGCTTCTGATTTCTTTTGTCGCAGATATTGGATTTCGTTCCTGGACTTGAGGTTGCTTTCAGCGACAAACAAGTCTATATGCTTAGACGCTTAACAATGACGATTCCTGCAACGGTCCGGGGCAAGACGACGGCACATTATATCAGGGCCGTTGTCAAGGGGTTTCAAGGCATCGCCCTTCCCGCCATCATTCATGCCTGGAGGTATTGTCGTTTCCTCCAGATGTTGCTTGTGCCTGAACTGGAGTTCGACATTGGGCAGCATTACATCCGTGATCTGATTTTAATAGTCGCAGAGGCTGAAGGGTTAGGTTGATCCGCCTTTCATGAACCGCTGGTGGCCAATCGGTCCACCAAAATGGTGTGTACATAGCTCCAAGACAGATCGGAGAAACACTCAGCGTGAAACGGCCTTGGGTCTCAATTTGTTCTACCTTCACGGGCAATTGAAGTGATTTGCACTTTGAGGTGCAAGTGTCTGATGTTTGGAACTTGCAATAACAAGAACTGGGGTGGTAGGTGCAGGTCATCAGTTTCCCGTGGGTCCGGCAGAACTGGACTCGACGTTTGAGTCGATCCAGTCGATGCAGCTCGCGCCGCGCTCCTGCCATGTGCAGAGCACTGGTAGGTCGCTGTCAGCAACGCGCAGAAAAGGAGATGCAGTGTTGCAGACTGTTGCAGATTGTGGAAACGAACAAAAGCCGCTTTAGTTACTTAGTAGGCTTGAAAATCTTAAGATGACAGTTGTGCATATGAGAATAGAACGGGCCATCTTTTTCAAGATGGAGCCTGTTGGTTTTCAAGCCGCTTCCCGACAACCGCGGTCATGGAGGTGCCCGTGCGCCCAGTGTTGCAAGTGGACGACAGGTGGCGACAACTGGGCGCTTTTGGATGGGGAAAAGGATGGGCAAAGGATGAGAAACCTCATCGGATTGGGAGGGTACCCAATTTTTCAGACAACCCTACATGTGTGCGATTCCACCTACCAAAGATTAGAAGATATCACGCGAAAAACATTCGATAGAGCCAAATGATATGGTGGTGGGCGTGCAAACAAAAGAGATCAAGCAAGTTCAACTGGGAATATGGCAGAAATACTCCAGGAACATATTGATGGGTTTTAATCTAGGACCTGTTTTTGATTCATTGTTTTAGGACTCTCTACTTCTATGATTTATTTGAAGATTTAGATGGTAGTTCCAGTCACGTTTTCTGGTGTAATATATCGCCCATCCATTATTCTGACGAAATCATTTCGAGTGAGGATGCCTGCTGATTCTTCACGTCGGCTGAGGATTTTTCCGTTTCCCTCATGTGATGATCGTGGAACTTTGAACCAGTTAGAAACTGAAAATAGGGCCTTGTATGTAGGATAGATGTCGGATAGATCAGGAATGGACAGACGGACGGAGTGACATATAGATAGATGGATAGGTAGGTAGATAGGTAGGTAGGTAGATAATCAGATAGCTAGATGTGTTGATGGGTAGATGGGTAGATAGGTCTCTAGAACAATAAATCAACTGTGATATCAATGAATAAATATAATTATATATATATATCCCAATAGATGACACCGATATTCCGCAATTGCCAATGGTATACATGTACTAACCTCTGGGAACCTCCCGTAACCTCCCAGTGGAGGTTGAAGCTCCCTCCAGGCCTGAGAAAACGCTTCCAAAAGAAACCGCGGTGGATGTGGAAGTGGCTGGTGGGGGCACCCGGCATGACTACCTCTGGGCCCATTGGGACAATCTGATATCTTTGGGGAATACTTAAAATGAACGGGAAGTAAATGTGTAAATTCTAGGTTTGGGGTTCATCATGGACCAAGACACGGCCATGAAATTTATCATATAAGAGTATTACTATGGGGGCTGATGAATGTTACTGCAATAGATGTTCTAGTAATTTCTAGTATATAGTTTCATTTCGTTTCCCATAGGTGTTCAGGGTGTCATCATGCATTCCGATCTTTGACACGTTACTGCACAGCTGTTGGGTCGACATTACATCATTTGAAAACAGATCAAAACGAGCAATCTACACTTCAACAGGAACAGACATATATGACACATATGAACACACATATGACACATATCTATTTACATATCTACATACATATCATGTTACAATTATATTTATATACATATAATGCTACATTTATATTTATATACATATTATGTTACATGTATATTTATACACATATCATGCTACATATCTATATACATATCATGGTAGATATCTATATACATATCATGTTACATATTTATATACATATCATGTTACATATCTAAAAACACATCATGCTACATATCTATACACATATCATGTTACATATCTATATACATATCATGTTTCATATCTATATACATATAATACTACATATTTATATACATATCATGTTACATATCTATTTACGTATCATGTTACATATCTATACACATATCATGGTACATATCAATACACAAATCATGTTACATATATATATATATACATATATTTATGCACATATCATGTTACATATATATTTATCTTTATACACATATCATGTTACATATCTATTTACATATCATGTTACATATCTATATATATACATATCATGGTAGATATGTATATATATACATAGCATGTTACATATTTATATACATATCATGTTACATTTCTATATACATATCAAGTTACATATTTATTTATATACATATTATGTTACATGTTTATTTATACACATATCATGCTACATATAAACATATCATGTTACATTTCTATATACATATCAAGTTACATATTTATTTATATACATATTATGTTACATGTTTATTTATACACATATCATGCTACATATAAACATATCATGTTACATTTCTATATACATATCAAGTTACATATTTATTATATACATATTATGTTACATGTTTATTTATACACATATCATGCTACATATAAACATATCATGTTACATTTCTATATACATATCAAGTTACATATTTATTTATATACATATTATGTTACATGTTTATTTATACGCATATCATGCTACATATAAACATATCATGTTACATTTCTATATACATATCAAGTTACATATTTATTTATATACATATTATGTTACATGTTTATTTATACACATATCATGCTACATATAAACATATCATGGTAGATATTGATATACATATCATGTTACATATCTATATACATATTATGTTACATATCTATACATTCCACGCATATCTCATTGTCTCGTTGTTTTCAAGTAACTGAAATCATCAAGCCCAGGCTCTGGCGATTCCTCCAGTGGATCCAGGCGATTTCTGGGAGCAGCATGTTGAGAATCAACGCCCAAGATGTTTAAGATACCCAAAGTCCTTATTAATATTGGATGAATAATAGATAGGTATATCAGATTATATCAGTATATCATGAATAAGTTAGGTATATCATGGCAAATTTCATGGTATATCAATGATCCTTTACAGACTTGGATCGTTTTGAGTTGTTGCGTTGATTTAAACCAAGGAGTAGGTAGCTGATGATCTTATACACCCATTGGTTTTAACGGGATGGGTTGGCACCAGCTGCCGGTTGTCCAATTTACCATTCAATGTTTAAACCATTAAGTATAGTACTAGTTGTTATTCCAGTTGCAATTTTGTTTTTCCCTCTGGTACTTCCATGAAGATGACTCAGATCATTTACCATGATTTACCATGATTTACCATGATTTACCTATTAAAGAATATTAAAAATGAAGATTGTCCATAACTTTGTCAAGTTCTCAGAGGGCATATCATACCAGTTATCCAATCATGTGAAGCCAAGCAGGTCGGTCCCGAGCGCACCAAGATCAGAGTCAGGACAACTGAGCCGTAGATCATCTTCATTAATTGTCATCAACAATTGTTACTGTTCATGAATTATAATGAATTATCATTATATAATTATCATTAAATCATGATGAAGTATAATTAACTATAACTAATAATATGTTTTACTATGAAGTCTGATTTAAAAGTGTATCATTTTATCAATGATCATCATCATCATCATCATCATCATCATTGTTGACCTACAGGCACTGTGCCTAATGAAGCCTTGGAGACTTCCATGGTTAGCCCAAGTCTAGTAATCTGAGGTGGCAATGGGAAGATTATTCCTATGTTCATGAGATTCATGGACTTTTAGCATTCATAATATCTAAAGAGACGTGGGGGTTCTTTGAGATTTCCAACATTGCCGTGTTGGTTTACCAGACTGTAGCTGCACCAGCGTATACCAGCGATGGAAGGACACAGCTCAGCCGAAGAAGGAAGTCTGACTGCGCAGAGGAGATTGAAGTTGAGTGTATTATTGTGGAAACTTCACCAGCAACAATGGGGATCTAAGATGATTTATTCCATGCATAGCGGATATGAATGTGTTTCAGAATTGGCTACCCCGGGATCCATTAGTCAAATTGGTTCATAAAATCATTATCCCCTTATAAAATGGCCATTGGGGGGGTACACCCAATTTTCAGACACACCCACATGCTAATGTACTGACCCATACTGACCCGGATTTTGATTAGGCAAGGAGAAAGATTAAATTTATATATATCAATATATATATATGGAATTATATGGAACTGTTTTCTGCACGATTGAGCGACTGCTGGACTCCATTGTTAATCGTGTTGTCTGTGACATCTCCAAGGTTTGAGATCAGCGACCATAGCAACTGCACTGGAGACAAGCGAGGACTGATCTCAGCCAGTCTATCAGCAGTCCAGGAAAATTGCGGATCAGAGTAAGACTATTAATAATAAAATCTATTAATACCTATTAAATACTATTATCACTATATATATATATATGTATCAGTATCTACCACTATTATCTATAGTTGGATTGGCTATTGTTATTTCCATGACATTCTTGAACGTTTTGGAGTCGGCCTCGCGCAAGTTGGGCAGAGGGTGTTTGTTTACCCTGTGGAAAGTCATATATGATTGGGTGATTTTATTTCAACATAACTGGAAGAATATCCCCAATTATATAATTGAGATTTATTTGAGGTATTTTCCATTGCCATGTGTGATTGCCCGACGGCATTTAGTTTTTTGCAGGCAAGGCAGATGCACTCTGATCGAGCTTTGAAGGCTACTGCAGTGCAGTGCTATCATCTCTAGACGTGTTCAATCCCTAATGGTCACATTTCAATGGATTGTCCGGGTAATTCCAAAATGGGACACAACTGGATGGTGGTCTAGTAAAAGCGACAGAAAAATCTGCAGACCACACGGACTTGTTGGTTTCATCTCCGTTGAGCAAAACTGCCCAGGAGCCTCCAAACTTAGAAGATACGGCCAGGATTCCTTCAGGCTGTCGGGCTGGAAGGGCACATCCAGGAATGATGTTGCTCAACATGTTTTTTTTTTCAGTGGGAATATAGATTGATATATTTGTACATATTTGTAAATACGTATACATATACAGGATGTATATTACATATTGATCATATGAGTGTGTCTTAGTTTGCGAGCTCTGCGCCAACGTACCCAAACATCTCCAAGATATCAAGGGGCCTTAAAAATTACCCTCCAGTAAATTAGCATGGACCCTGCCAGATAGGGGTTGGAGAATTTAGATTTCCACTAAACAATTGCTGATTTTCAGGGTCCAACTGTTAATTTAGACCAGCTACCTCAAAATCTGAGCCTACCCAAGCCTTGCGCTGTAGGTCACGAAGTACCCGAAGGTCCAGTCGTGGACGCATCATCTGCTGCCTCGGCGGGAGAAGTGACGCCTATGTCACACGAGGAACAAAAAATGCTGCAGCAGACCGGGGATGGTAGGAATGGTTGGGGCAAATATTGTTGGCGAGTCATTCCTTGATGCAGGAGTTATTACTTTGCCCCCTTTATCTCCGCATATTATCTTGGGGTGCTTTGGGGCCCTATTTATTTCCATGTTGGTCAGCATTTGTCTTTGTATGTAGTGTGAAGTTTCACTTTTGTTTGTCCTTGTGTTTGTTCTGCACTGATTGGAAGCTGACTGACGAAGAAAGGCATGCAAGGCTTCCAAGTTGAAGCCAGCGCACAGGATCAAAATGTATCTGTCATTTGCATGCTGCAATCTCTACTTGGTTCAGGCTGTTTTCCGGCCCATTTCAACGTCCTCGCTGCAACGTTGCGAAAGATGAGAAAGCAAAGGTGATTCATAAGTCAATTGAACATGAGAATTCTAGCAAGAAGATGGTTGCAATGCTGGAAGTATCTGGAAATGTCTGAAAAGTCGAACGTGTCCCTCAGAGTGGTCCCCGATCCCCTGAAGCCATGAAGACCATGAAGACCGACGATGAAAAGCGACGAAGCGTCCGTCACATCCATGAGCGTTTGGAGCTCAGGGCGAAAAGGTCTGCTTTTGTAGTAGGCTACCCATCTGGCCGTGGTACCTGAAGATGGGGAATTAACCCCTGTCAGATGGCTATTTTTCAATGGTGTTTCATGTGAAATACAAATATGTAAAGTCATGTAACATCACCATTATGAGTATCAATATTCACCATTATATACCATTATATACCATGATTCACCATGATTTGCCATTCTCAAATTGATCAACCATCTTTTTTGCCATCATTAGCCATTAAAATGATTCGCCCAAATCTGGTGGAAGCCTTAGTGATTCGCCGAGGCTTCAACCTCTTCATGATTCCACCCTTGGTGCTTTTGACAGGTGCCATGGCGCCTTACCGCTGGATGGTTCCAAGCAGTTTTGCGCCTGGAGTTTTTCGATGGGAAAATCCCAATCGAAATAGATGATAACTGGGGGGTACTGGGGGCACCCCCATGACGAAGAAGAGACCTCCATGATTGTTTATTATTTAAGTATCGTGGTATTGTGGGTAAAGCAGTGCTATAAACCCCAACCATATATATATATATATATATGGATTGATGGTTTTTGCCACCCATACGAATGGTAAATTTAAATTTGGGCATGATTTACTATTACTAACATTACTTTGGTAATGATTTGAATTTGGAGACTCTATGTGTTTGTGTTCTTTGGCAGGTTGCTCCCTTCTGCGTCCTTCACCGGTGACCCATGGCATTTTATCCTGGAGCGTCGGGGTGTCCCAGGTGAGCAGGGGTGCCTTGACCAGTGGGGAAAACTTGGATGTCATTGGATGTTCAATATTTGGAAGATCTGGAGTGGGAGTGCCAACTACTCCAAGGATTCCCTTCCCCGTCCCCTGGAAACTGGGACATCCAGGATCGCCGTTGAGACGTCCAGGACACCCCAGAAATCCGGTGAGATGGTTGTTGAACCATCAATGTAAGTGTAATAGATATTATATATTATAATATATATATAATATAGATGCTATGATAGATGCTTAGATGAATCATGATGAATCCAAATTATAACATCCAATTATATTTTGGTATCATAGTTTTTTCATTTGTATATGTGAGTATATAGCATCCATTTTGCCAAAGAACATTCGGACATGTCATTTGTCCAGGTCTTGTCTTACATGGTGCTGGACACGACATACAATCTTTTGGTCCGGTGCTCAGAGCTTGGTGAACATCCACAGCTTTCCACTGCATATGAATGCTCTAAAATCACGATCGTATATATATATATATATGATATATATATATATGATATATCAACCTAAGTCCATGTGAATCGACATGTTCAAAGCTGGTGCTGGCTTAGAACGTTGGGGTGAATAAATTGGTTCATATGTAATACAAAAACTTTCCAATGTTGCCCACATCCACTCAACATCCGGTAGGCACCCGATTGTCAACCAACTTGGAAGAGGTGGGTTTGGAAACTCAGCGGTTCACCGCACAGCTGCCATTTTGGAGGGTTTCCATAGCAGGGTATCCCAGTAGATGGATGGTTTATTTCTTGGAAAAAAACCATCTACAAAGGGATGACATATGAAATTCAAGAGGTACTCATGGCTTACGAAACCTCCATTTGTATTTGGAGAACCAAATGCACTGAGTGTGATGCACTTGCAGATTTGAAAGTCTGAAAACGGGACATGATCTTCTGATCTTCTGCAGCCAGTCTGGTTTCGGTATCGTGAGGTCACTATTCTGCTCCACCATGCCTTTCGTGGCATGCTTGAAGTGACAGGATGAGCGCATCGACTTTGCTAAGTATTTTTTAAAAAGAAAATTGTCCATACATGCATATCAAAGAGATCTAAAGAGACTGGATAGCTCACACAGAGACCGACTGGTATTCAAGATCAGGTGTTCGACACGCGCAGAATCTGTAGATACGTGTTTGGCATACAGCATGCTGTACATGCGTTGTTGCTTCCAGGTTTGCATCAGTGTGCATCTGAACAGTTGACAGTGCACCTTGTTGTGGTTTCCTTCATCTGAACATATCTTAAGATATCTGAAGTCTTTTCCATCTCTACCTAGGGACCTAGGAGTATGATCCCAAGCGACTTTCAGATTTGAGTTTCATTGTGCCAGGTGACCGCTGCTTGGTTGGTGTGTTTTCCCATTCATCACCCGGACTTCGCGCATCTGACGGCATACTGTGCTCCCATGGGTCAAACTCCATTGCAACCCATAGGATATGCCGGTAGTCATGGAATTGCAAACAACCTGAGGTTTGAAGAAACTTTTGATCTGACATGCAAATCATACATTCATATAAAATCCGTAAAGTCTTCAATTGCTTGAAGTTGTATCATTCAGACCTGTCTCTTGCCCCGCTGGATCACAGCAATGGCAACGAGGTACCACCGTTGAAGTGAATACGCTCTTCCTGACGTTGTACAAGGCACTCTGCTTCGTGACTATGCTAACTAGTCACAATTTGTGGGTCACTGCAGCATCCATGATGTTAAACACTTCTATCAATGGAGGCGGGAAACATTACTATTACTATTCTGCTGACACAGTTTGGAACGCCACTCATGCAGAACTAGAAGCTTGCGTACTTGATGTTGCCTGCAATTTAATAGTTTATATCCCTTTTGGATTTTTGCCCCTTGTTTGATTGCAATGCAGATTGTTGGGGATGACGTTGGAGTCCAGATTGGGGGGGTCAAAATTGAGTGCACTAAAAATTGGATGGTTCCCAGTTCCCATTAAATATGTGAGTTTGTCTGAAATGGAGTTGAACCATGTTAAACCTAAATGCATCTAAATCCACTTTATAATAATATGATAAATGATATGTCTAGTTTCTCACTCCGATGTCAATTTTCGGATTTACGCCAAGTTCAGACATTGTCATATGAAGATGAGCAGCATGGTGGCGGGCGTCAAGTCGGATGCATTTTGGTGGCGGCAGGTTTTCAAATGGAACTTTGCTCAGACTGGCCATTTGGTCTCCTGGGTCACAGGCTTAGTCTGTCTATGCGGGACACAAAAATCTTTGTTTGATGGGATGAATAATTAGTTAATGCATGTGTTGCAAGTTGCAAGGAATGAAATGAACACCAACTAGTCATGGGTTGCAGGGTGGGGATGGTGCTCCAAGTAAGCAGAATTACTGCTTTGTCATAGATCATGATGGTTCTTCTCTTTCTTACTATGTTTGTCATCGACATCGACATCGACATCATCATCATCATCATCATCATCATCATCATCATCATCATCATCATCACCACAGCATTGCTCGAAATACGTCCAGGAGGGTTCAAAGTTGCGGATCTTAAGAATGGAAGTTGGACGCCAGCAACGTACGCTTGTATGACTCGAAAAAGAAAC